TTTTCTTTTCTTTTTTTTTTTTCCGATTTTTTTCTCTTTGTTTTTTTCTGATTTTTTTGGGGGGTCAGCTGGCGACATTTAAGGACTTCTAGGGATCTTCATACTCTTAAGGAACGAGGGGTGTTTATTATGCTTAGTTCTATAATTAATTATTATGTCTTCCTTACGGTCTACTAGCGGAGAAATTCGCTTCCTTTCTCACAATGTTCAGGGGCTTAATTTCCCATCCAAACGCATACAGGCCTTTATCTCATACCACTCCCTTGGGGCGGATATAGTTGCCTTACAGGAGACTCATTTTCCCCCCTCCTTCTCTCCACGTTATGTTCATAAAAATTACCCTCTCTGCTTTTTTGCTAATGCTTCAGAGACAAAGCGGGGGTGGCCCTATGCTTTTCTCGCCGAGTGTCCTTTGTCGAATCTAAAATTGTCCGGGACAAGGAGGGGCGATATCTTTTGGTGAAAGGCCATTTGGGAGGAAACCTTATCACTTTTATAATTTATTATACCCCCAATGCCAATCAGGTTGAATTTTTCCAATCTTTGCTAAGCACTTGGCAGGAGAATTTGAGGATGACGTTATTCTAGCTGGTGACTCTAATTTAGCGTTGGACCAGACTCTGGATCGTTCCCGAACCGCCACGCTTCAGCCTCCTTCTAGACGGAGCCGTAAATTGGCTCAACTCTTATGTCGATATGATTTTATTGATGCCTGGAGGGAGGCTAATCCTACTTCTCGAGACTACTCCCACTACTCCAGGGCTCATAATAGTTATTCTCGCATTGTCCATATTTTTCTTCATACATATTCACTCCCCAAACTTGTTACTGCTAAAATCTTTTCTACGCCCTGGTCTGACCACGACCCAGTTTCTATCACTTTGTCATCCGGGACTCCTGGTAAGACAGCTTTTCATTGGCGTCTCAATGATTCTATTTTGGGTAATCCCTCTCATTGTCGGGAAATCTCCTCACACCTACAAATATTTTTTGATTTTAATAAAGCAGAGGACACGAACCCGGCGATTAATTGGGCAGCTCATAAGGCCTCAGTCAGTCGGGATATATTATTCAACTCTCTTCTCGTTTAAAAAAAGCCCGAAATGACCTACTTGCTACTAAAACCCAATTGTATACTGACCTGGTTGCTCAACATAAGTGACATCCCAGTTCTGATTTGTTACTTAAACTGGACCAGGCCCGACTGGAACTTAACTTATGTCTTACTACCACTGCGGACAAACAACTTCCTTGGTCTAATCATAAATTCTTTACTTGGAGGGACAGGCCTGGCACCCTGTTAGCACGTAAGCTGACTCCTAGACATTCCCAGACGGCCCCTCCCCAAGCTCAGACTGGACAACGGTTCGTTATCCCAGGACCCGGGTAAGATCCTCCACAAATTCCATTCTTTTTATTCTCAGCTTTATAGTTCGCCCACGGGGGGTTGTTCTTCTTCCTCTCTGGAGGCTTTTTTGGAGTCTATCTCATTTCCCCCCCTCCGGGAGGCCCATAGGGAGCTAATGGAACAACCTATCTCCTGTGAAGAAGTTGGGAATGCGGTGAAATCCCTGGCCTCTCATAAGGCCCCGGGACCGGATGGTCTTCCCAATAATTACTATAAAGCTTTCCCGGACATTCTGATACCCCACATGGCCCTGTACTTTAATTATTTTCGGGAGGGGGGAGTGGTTCTCCCAGAGGAAAATAAGGCATTCATTAGTGTCATTCCCAAGCCTTTCAAGGATGCCGCTATGGTCTCCAATTACCGGCCTATTTCTTTAATTAACTGTGATTTAAAGATTCTAACTAAAATTCTGGCCCTACGGCTCGATAACTTCTTGGCTTTATACATTCATGATGACCAATCTGGATTCATAAGTGGTCGACAAACATCGGACCAAATTAGGCGGACTATAGCTTTGCTGTCAGCTGTGCAGTCCAATTGGGATGGATCGACGCAAAGGGAAATTTTACTACTGTCACTGGATATTCAGAAGGCATTCGACAGTCTGTCCTGGGACTATTTGTTTAGAACGTTGGACAGGTTTGGGTTTGGCCCTTATTTTACGACACTGTTGCGGGCCCTCTATTCTACTCCGTCAGCTCAAGTTTCCATTCGTGGACATAAATCAGTCCCTTTTTCGATAGAACGAGGAACTAGACAGGGATGTCCTCTTTCTCCGTTGCTCTTTGCGTTGGCGATGGAACCTCTTGCGATTGCTCTTCGTGCTGATTCCACTATATCGGGTGTTACCTGTGGTCAAAGGGTTCATAAATGCGCCCTATTTGCTGACGATGTTCTTATGTACATATCTAATCCTCGAACGTCTCTGCCTGGTTTCTTCCGTCTGTTTCATCGGTTTTCTGAGGCCTCCGGTCTTACGCTTAACTCATCTAAAACTGTTGCTTTAAATATCTCGTTACCCGATTCTGAGGTTCGTTACTGCCGGGAAAACTTTGATTTTCAGTGGGCCTCTGGTTCTCTCCCCTATCTGGGGATTCTCCTTACGAAATCATTATCGACGCTATACCAGGCCAACTATCTCCCGCTTTTCAAACGACTTAAAAATGACTTATTAGCCTGGCAGGATCTTTCACTTTCCTGGTTCGGTAGAATTAATTCTATTAAAATTACCTTCTTACCTAGATTATTATACTATTTCAGGACGTTACCAATTCTGATTCCCAAACGAGAACTAGTCTTACTACAGGCTGCAGTCTCCAGATTTGTATGGAGGGGAAAGCGCCTGAACAAATCTACCTTATTTTCTTTGAAGAGGCATGGCGGTTTGGGACTCCCTAATCTTTTCGCATACTTTCAGGCGGCCCAAATAGCACAACTATCTTGTACTACGGCCAGGGGATATGTCCCCCAATGGGTTGGGATTGAGGCTCTTTCGTGCCGCCCATATGCTATTGGTACTCTTATGTGGCTTCCCAGTAGATTTCGCCCTCCTATTTTGTGTCCTACTCTATCCTATTCATTGTCGGTGTGGGATAGATGGCGAGCTCGTAAACCTTTCTTCTCTCCGCATACCCCGTTGGCTCCGGTGTTTGGTAATCCTGAGTTTGCCCCAGGTTTATTTTTTGCGAGGTTCCAATGGTGGATTAATAAGGGGTTGCTACGTATTGGGGATTATTTGGATGGGGTTCGCCCTCGGTCTCTTCATTATTTTGTGAATTTTTGTGGGATGCCTCGTGGAGAGATATTTCGTTACCGTCAACTTCGCTCTTTTATTGATAGCAAACTTAGACTACTCACAGAAAATTGTGCGCTTACTTCCCTCGAGGTCTCCTGTGGGGCAAGTGGGATGATGCGAGGTCGCCTGTCCATTGTTTATGCTTTGTTGGTTGATCCCTTAACTAAATTATCTTACATGACTCTATGGGAACGGGATTTAAATAGTTCATTTGATTTGGATACCTGGCGGACTGCGGCCCATGCCCTATCGAAGATTTCGATTAACACTGATCTTGTTGAATCTAACTACAAAACGCTACTTCGGTGGTATTTGGTTCCTGCTCGCCTAGCCATAATGTGTCCTTCCGTTTCATCTGGCTGTTTCCGACGCTGTGGTCAAGAGGGTACCATGTTCCACGTCTGGTGGAAATGTCCAGTCGTGAGTAGGTTCTGGATCTGCATATTTAAGTTTCTTTACTCAGTGACAGGAATTAATATCCATAGATCGCCGGAAGTGGCCTTGTTTAATATACTACCCTCTGATGTTCCCAAAAAATCGATTAAATTGATTTTATATATCATATTGGCGGCTCGCATTGCCATAGCTAGGAGTTGGAAACAATCCTTGATCCCGCTGGACAGAGTGAAACAAAAACTCAACTGGATAATGGTTAATGATAAACTGGCGAGTATCGTCACTGATGATGTGTCCAGATTTGAGAGGACTTGGGATCCTTGGATTAATTATATTACTGTATCGTGAGTGTCTGGCAGCTGACCCCCCCCCACCCCCTCTTATATTTTTTTTTTTTTTTTTTTCTCTCTCTTTGTTTCATTTGAGAGTACTTTCCTTTTTGTCTCTCTTTTCCTCTCTTTTTCTACTATTTGTTGAAACTTTTTTTTTTTCTCTGTTATTTTTGGTTCATTTTGATTCAATTTTTGTTTATTGATCTATGAAACCTGTATGTTTTGATGGCTATGACATTTCTTATGTGAATTGTAATGCTATTGTCTGCTAATCTTTTTATGTACCTACTAGCGTTATGATTATGATTCTACATCTTGTTCCACCTTGCGGGTGGGCCCTTTTCTTTTTCTCTCTTTTATTGTTTGCCATCATGTTTTACGCTTTAATATGCTTGTTTCTCAATAAAAATATTGAAATATAAAAAGCATACTGTGCTTAACCACAATAAACAAACAATGCTACATAGAGTAGCCTACTGATGCATGCGACAGGTAGACATAATTGGTATAGACCAGGGGTCCTCAAACTACAGCCCGCAGGCCACATGAGGCCTGCCAAGGCCATTTATCCGGCCCGTCAGCAGGAGCATATTTTCCACGAGGAAGGGACACTAAGTACAGGGGTGGGCAGGGGCTGCTGTACCTTACCTGGGTCTGGTCCCAGTCCCACGATGATCCAGTCCAGGAAGCGCTGCTCCTTCATTCACTCTGGCCACTCCCTCACTCCTGCCGCTCGGCTCCGCCTCCTCACACCGGTGATTGGGCGCCAGAACTGTAGCTCAGGAAAGGCACACAGGCGGCCAATCACCTGCAAGGAGGCGGAGCCGAGCGGCCTGGCGAACATCGAGTGAGGGAGAGGCCGGAGTGAAGAAGGACAGCTGACAGGTAAGTGCGCCGTGCTGATGGTGCTGCTGCAACCAGGTATGCTGGCTGCAGCAGCACCATGCTGGAGCAGGGGTCAGCAAGTTAAGTGTCATTGGTGTCAGTGGGAGGAAAAGTGCCCCATCATTGGTGTCACTGATAGTAATAATGGGGCATTATTCCTCCCACTGAAACCAATGATGGGGCACTATTCCTCCCCCCACTGGCACCAACGATGGGGCACTATTTCTCCCCCCCACTGACGGCAACGATGGGGCACTATTCCTCCCCCCCACTGACACCAACGATGGGGCACTATTCCCCCCCCCCACTGACACAAACAATGGAACACTATTCCTCCCCCCACTGACACCAATGATGGGGTACTATTCCTCCCACTGACACCAATGATGTACTATTCCTCCCACTGACACCAAAGATGGGGCACTATTCTTCCCACTGACACCAATGATGGGACACTCTTCCTCCCACTGACACCAATGATGGGACACTATTCCTCCCACTGACACCAATGACGGGGCACTATTCCCCCCACCGACACCAATGATGTACTATTCCTCCCACTGACACCAAAGATGGGGCACTATTCTTCCCACTGACACCAATGATGGGACACTATTCCTCCCACTGACACCAATGATGGGACACTATTCCTCCCACTGACACCAATGTTGGGACACTATCCCCTTCCCCCACTGACACCAACGATGGGGCACTATTCCTCCCCCCACTGACATTAACAATGGGGCACTATTCCTCCCCCCACTGACACTAATGATGGGGCACTATTCCTCCCCACTGACACCAATGATGGGGCACTATTCCTCCCACTGACACCAATGATGGGGCACTATTCCTCCCACTGACACCAATGATGGGGCATGATTCTTCCCACTGACACCAATAATGGGGCACGATTCTTCCCACTGACACCAATGATGGGGCACGTTTCTTCCCACTGACACCAATGATGGGGCACGTTTCTTCCCACTGACCCCAATGATGGGGCACATTTCTTCCCACTGACACCAATGATGGGGAACGTTTCTTCCCACTGACACCAATGATGGGGCACGTTTCTTCCCACTGACACCAATGATGGGGCACTATTCCTCCCACTGACACCAATGATGGGGCACTATTTCGCTCCATAAGACACACTTGGGGGGAAATGTCTGTGTGTCTTATGGAGCGGCCGGCCCAGTATTCCCGCCGCCGTTGTATGTCCGCAGTCTCTGGTCATCTCCTGTACTATGTCTGCATTTGTTCATAGTTTGTTTTTTTTATTTTAAATTATAGTCCGGCCCTCCAACGGTCTGAGGGACAGTGAACTGGCCCCTGTTTAAAAAGTTTGAGGACCCCTGGTATAGACTGATACTTTGATGATTGCCCAATGAGTTTCATTGGACACAGCCCGCTTCTTCATGGAGACAAAGTATATATTTCTGAAATTGAACAAAAGTAGGCCAAAAACATATCATAAGTACTGAAAGGATTAAATGTAATATAACTGAATCCATTTTGTATACACTAATACAAGGCTTTTGTTTAACATACACATATATGAGATATGTACACACTAACAAAACTGTATATGCCAGCTTCATGTAGAAATTAGTGTTTTTGCAAACTTTACAAAAAAGGAGATAAGCTTTACTCTCATTTCTGAAAAGTTGTAACCACAGCTTGGGCGTTGGGTCAGATTATAGCCATGGTCTGGACGTTGTGTCAGATTACACCGTTCAACAAATTTTAATTTTTTGCCAGTTTTGGAAACAAAAGGATCCATTTCTTAATGAATTTCACATTCTGAGTTCAAATATAACAATGAAATTTGTCAATTGGCTCTAGTTTTTCTGTAAACGGAAAGTTTTCTACTATAGGCGTAATGACTACATAATGCACAATAATTATATAGATAGATGTCTTTCCACAAATATAAAGCAAGTGATATTGACTACATAACAAAGCCTAAATGGCATAATATATTGCATAGGATTACCAAGAAAAATTATAGCCATAAGCTAAGTTGAATCATTTTAATACTTAGGATTCTCACTAGTTTTGTCTTCAGTTTGTGTCGGTTTTGCTTCTCTTGGCTTTTCTCTTGTATTCGAGGAAAGGGCTATCTCTTACAACTGCACGTGACTACACGCTTCAGGTTCTTCCTCACTTGACTCAACCACGAAGGATTCTGGTGCTTTAGGAATTGGTAGTCCTTCTCCATGAGGAACTGGACGTATTGCCGATGGAATATTTGGATAGTGCACAGATAACTTTTTCTTCTTATTTAGCCCTTTTACAATTGGAGGCACCATACAAAAGTAACAACTACTAACATGATCTGTTGGCTCTCTCCAAATCATTGGCACAGCGAAAGGCATAGATGCCTTTTTTCCATTCAACCATTGCTCCAGTGCCGTCCCACAAGAATTGCAGCATATATGTGGTGCCCAGCTCTTGTCCTGGTCTCCTATCTTGCAGCCAAAATACAAGTTGTAGGCTTTCTTAATCATTCCTGTTATCCTCCTTTTTTGTGAGATAAAAGTTATTTCACCACAGATATAGCAGAAATTATCTGCTTTATTCACACAAGTTCGAGGCATTACTGAGTAGCCTATATAAGCAGAAAACGAAATGTAAAGACGAACTACAATCAGCTACAGATACTGCAGCTTTTATGCAGTGAAGTGATGCAATTAAAGGCTAATATTGCATCATCTCAGTATACATGCAATTTTCTATTGGTCACCAGTATCAATTGCGCAATATGCAGCTGAAGTTGCATCATAATTTTGAATGGCTTACGTCATTAGATGGGTGAATATATCATGGAAACTAGAGCCAATCAACATTTTTTAGGGTCATTTTCGTTTTCAGCACCCCAAAATTATGTAAGATTAGCTAATTTTATGCCCAAAACTTTTTACCTGTTGAACAGTGTTATAGTCATGGTCTGGGCGTTAGACCAGATATGGTGTGACAGATAAAGCAGAAGAGTGAAAATGCAAACCTCATACAAATAATTGTTGAGTTAAGGTAAAAAATAATGTACATGTATTTGATTGGATGGTCTGAGGGTGTGTTTGCACAAAGACTACAGTATAAAAACCCTGATGTTATGCCAATAAAATTGAAGTGTTTGCAATCGCAATTGAGGTGACTTGAGTGCATTCACTTTCCGAGATCTCGAAGCTGTGTCCAGGTGTGACCATTGGTATCTTGAGGGGGCCCCCAAGGAACAGGAAAAGACCACCTACCTATTTTCAGTGGTGTCAGAAAGTGCGATAATTGCAAAGGTAAGTGAGAGTTTTATTTATTTTTTAATGCTTTCTTTACCGAGGTTATTATTCTGAACTTAAGGGAAATTTGGTGGGTGGAGTTTTAGGAGCGAGACTAATGGATTCTCGGCTCGGGGAATAATACCAGGACACACCTGGCACAGCACTTTGTATAAATTTGTAAAAAGTTTGTTATTGATGTTTTTTGTCTTGTTTGTTAGTTTTCTAATTTACTGCTATGGGTAATTCCTCAGGTAAGGAGGAAGGACCCCGTCATGTGCCGCCACAAAAGTTGATTAGGCTATTAAGAAAAACTAGAAAGCTGAGGGGAAAGAACACATCTACCTCAAATGAAACTTGTAAAGAATATGTAGCAAGGGTATCCCCTAATGATATTTATTATGTTAATCCCTAGGTGGATAATTTAGTGGGATGGTCAAATAGACTGGGTGCAGCTAGTTTTCCTTGTGAAGGGGGAAATGACACTATGTGTATGGATATGATTAGAGGAATGTGTTTGCATGAACAGCCTCAGGTAGGTATCTGGGGAACTGGAAAATCCAGATTGGGACAAGAATTATATGTACGAAGGGGGTAAGAATTGGTTGAAGTATGCACCAAGCTATAAGACTCTAATTGTAGCAAATGATTTCGCACCACCCCCGCCATACAAACACAGCGAGGCACGTCCTGCCCCTACAGCTCCACATGCAGCCCCATTATACCCAGCACTCCAACAGGTAAAACAAGTAGATGAAGATGAAGAGGTTCTTATTGCTGCTTCCCAGATAAATACAGGGGAGTCAGAAGAATCTGGCTCAGATGGGGAAACTGGGAGTGTTAGTCAAAGGGATACTGAGAGGGGTAAAAGGAAAGTAAAGAGGAAGATAAAGAAGGTAGAAAAGAGTGATAGAATTCTTAGGTCAGCAGAAAGTAACAAGGGGGAAGTTAAAGATGAGACAGCTGAGCTAGATATGATGAATTCAGCCTTTCCATTCATGATGATTGGGGAGCAGCTGATTTTAAAGGCAATAGATCCCAAGGAGCTGGATGCTATAGTACAGGGATGCCCTAATCCAAGGAAATCTCCAAGTGGGGCAGTATCCTGGCTAAAGAGGACATGTGTAGGAAGGAACTATACGATGGAAGATTGCAAGTTGATAATTGAGAAAGTATTGGGAGATATTACAGGAGAGTTTGAATGGGAAAATTGTAAGATTTTTAATAATGAAGATGGCGCTGGTTACAAAAAGTGGGATTCATCACAGGGAGTAGATCAGTATCCTTTACATACTAGAGCACAATGGGATGCTGCATGGGAGGAGGTGACATGTGAATTGTTTAGGCTGTACAAACAAAGGAAATCATTTGCTCCAATAGTAGCATGTCGGCAAAACGTCACAGAGACTGCTACTGACTATTAAAAGGTTTAAGAAAGTCTGGTTGGAGGAAGGGGGAATGGATCTGATTGGTAGAGAGTGCGGATCACTTTTTCAATCAATCTTTTTTCGATCAATCTTGGATGAGTGGGGCACTTCCATATGTTAGTTTAGCAATTAGACAATTGTATGATGGTTGGGAAGATAAATCTGCACTAGATTTTGAAAAAAAAAAGATTCTTAGTAAAGATGCAGCAGGAAATTTTTGAGAAGGGAACATAGAAGCCCCAAGTACAGGCACTGGCACATAGGCATGACTGGGAGGAAAGACCCAGGGAGCAGCGTCAGTACCAGCGCCGGCCCTTTAAACGGGTCCTACGACGTTACAATTGTGGGGAGGAGGGGCATTTTCCGTCGGGAGTGTACTGCTCCAGGAGTACAGTTTCAGAGAAGGGAGCCCACGGAGGAGGAGAGACAGTTTGATGAGGTGAGAAGGGAACAGGCAGCCGCCAATAGGCGAGGTCAGCAACAGTATCCTGTGGAACAACGCCCCAGATACAATGTGGACTGGACTAGTAAAAATAAATAGGGAGGCCAGGGTCCACTCGAGCATGCTTCCTCAACAGTGTCTTTGTTTCCATCTTTTAGTTGTTCCGATTCATTTTCGGAAAATCCCATGATTACACTTACAGTGGGGGACGTCCCCTGCACTTTTTTAGTAGACACAGGGGCCACTGCCTCAACATTAAATAAGGAATTTTTAAAAAAAAATGGCATTGTAAGTATGGGACCTCCCTGGATATTTACTCGAGTAACACTCGATCAATAGGGATCGAGGGAAAGGAAAACCCGACTTGCATTACACCTCCCCTCCTGGTACAAGCAAAAGATAGTCAGGTCTGGTACCATAAATTTCATGTGCTCCCGCATTGTCCTGTGATTGGACCGAGATTTGTTAGGTGACCTTAAAGTCGTGATGTCTATCACGGAGGAAGGTATGCAATTGGACACACCTTTCCTAATCTGTTCAGCTATGGATCATGATTTAAATAAGCTCCCTGAAAACCTATGGACTAAGAGCAGCAAACGGCTGCAGGCCTCATTGACTGCACACCTAAAAAGCCACCTTAAAACCAGGAACCCTGTTTATCATAAACAATACCCACTGTCCGAAGATAAAATAGACGGACTTAAACCTATTGTGGAGGATTTTAAAAAGAGGGGAATACTGAAGCCGGTAGTATCCCCCTACAATACCCCCATTAATCCGGTAAAAAAACCCATTGGTGAGTGGAGATTAGTACAAGATCTCAGGGCAATTTCCTGATCTGGTCGTTCCTATTGCCCTGTAGTCCCAGATATACCAACCTTGGTAAATGCTATACCTGCCAACGCCACACATTTTACAGTAATTGATCTGTCAAATCAGTCCCAGTTGACCCGG